TGTCACTGTCACTGTCACTGTCACTGTCACTGTCAGTGTCAGTGTCAGTGTCACTGTCACTGTCACTGTCAGTGTCAGTGTCAGTGTCATTGTCAGTGTCAGTGTCACTGTCACTGTCACTGTTACGGTCGCTGTCATTGTTACTGTTACTGTTACTATTACTATTACTAAATTAAATTAAAATTAAACTTATCCACTAAATTGTCGTTCAGAATCTGGTGTTTTAGTATCCATGCATGGAAAAAATGGTTACATGAAGTGCTGAGCTAGATGTCTGAAGAACAATTGGATACAAAATAAGCTGTCTTTTGTTTTTTAGGCCATGGGTTCTTTTTTGATCAAGGAGACATGATACTCGATTGCGAACTCTATGAAGAACTTCATCCCGGAGAGAGCTGTAAGAGGGGTGGGTCCAGAGGTCAGTCCAGGACGAAGAGAAATGCTATTAGAGCTCGTAAACGACTCTGGACAACAAGGATAGTACCATATAAAATTCCATCCTACATGAGTAAGTACAGCACACTGAGTGTCCTTTACTAATTTATTAAGTCCAATCACCATCAAACGTTCGAATTAATACTCCTTAATACTCCGTATTTTCTGAGAAACACAAGAAGTGCCTCACGCCACAGCTGTGGACCTCCTTTGCCAGTCTTGAAAAACGTATAAGGCCTCCAAAATTCTGCATCCCCCCTTCCTCCTGATCACCACTCGGAGCTTGGGCTTTCCACAAGTTGCTCCACAAGTTGCTCGACAACTTTTAGGCAATTTGGGAAATCTCGAGCAACTTGTGGAACGCCCTACTCGGAGCAATTAACTTATACATGTAACCATAAGTTCAATACTGCGATAAATTAATGTAATTAGGTGGAAATACTCGCATATCAAGTGACGCCATGCCAGGCTCTAACGGCAAAACAATGGCCCAATAAAGCTGAATTATTTATATCAGGAATGATTTATCCATCTGAGACAAAAAAGTCGTCAAAACTAGTATTAATTTCGGAGATTCAGCTTCAAAGAGTGTGATAGTTTTAGAGCGTCATTCAATTTTTATGCATCATCAAGTGTTGCAGTTGAAGAACCTACCTGTATTTTACTTCAATTTAAAACTTTTTCCTGGACTTAATATTATCCATTGGACATATCTATCATCGTGTTGGTAAATTTTACTCTCCTGTCTAACAAATATTCTACTTTCTGCTTCATTAGTAACGTAGAAAACAATTTAAAAATGTTATAATTAGACGCTTATTTTCCCCCACCCCTCCCCCCAACTCAATTTATGAAAAGGTCAGGGGTGCTCGTCGTGTCGCTCAGGAGTGTAGACCAAGGGTCTTGGTATCACTTAAGGTGTTTAGGACAAGACGCCGCTGTTTTTAACCGTCTAAATATCTTTATGGGTGCACTTAGAGAAATACTAAAAAGCGCTAGTCATTTCCGTTTTAAGTGGTGTCGAGCCACGCTCAGATTGGTCTGCTTTACAGGTTAAATTCAAATATCTCGACAAGCATCCCCGACCTCTTCATATGGGAGTGTACCCCGGCTTATTCCTCTAAAGAACAATGTCATTTTTTACAGGTTACATCACATCAAACCTTTACAAAGTTATTCAGACTTTCCACCAAGAAACATGTATAAGATTTGTGCCATACAAGAGACACAAGAATTATATCTACTTTGCCAATGACAAAGGGTAAACTCAAACATCTTCCATTTGATGAAGTGTCTACAGTTGAAGATATTTTTAGTGATGGTGCAACATGAAGAAACTGGACAGAAGTTAGTTATTTTCAACGGGTGAAAATTATTTGTTGGAAAAAATTTCGGACAGAAAGAAAGAGTTCGAGCAAGCCTTTCTCATAAGGGAAATATCCTACTTATGAGGGAAAATACAAACGTGCGTTCGCATTGACTCTAAAATCTAACAGTATATTAGCCAACTACCACGGCGACGCTAACGAGAAAAACACCAAACAAAACAAAACAACAGTGTAGAATGGCCATGTTCTGTGCATTTTGGAGACCATGAGCTGGCTACAGTTGACATAATAGAGAGAGAGTACAAAAAAAGATTGTTGTTGTTGTTGCTAATTTTTCATAATTCTTTGGAATTGAACTCTGCGATTACGCATTTAGCCTGAACATGGTTTTAGACCGAGTATTGAACACATCTATACAGTTGCGAGTTAAAATGTAAATTCATATTTGAAAGAACCCTCCTCGGTGTCGCCGTCTATATTGCTAACGCTCCCTATGGACCTGTTGAGGAACGGGTCAGTCCTTTTTTCAAGGGACCAAATATAGCAAAGAAAAGAGAGGAGGTATTGGTATAGTAAGAGCTCAACGACTTTCGCAAACTTTCGCTAACAATTTAGGAAACACTATTACTGTCACAAGTCCGCAATATTTCAATCAGGCTTGGCTTCTTGATTGCTGTCAGGGAAATTGCATTCCTCTTGTTATGTTACCAACTCGATCTGGTTAAAAGATATATATATTTTTTATGAATTTCTTTAACAAAGAATATTATTTTCGAGGAAAACGTGAGGCTGCAAATTCGCTTTAGTAATCAGATAGTTCTGTACATGTATGTACAATTACAACTGTTAGTTTACCGTTTGAAAATTGTTATTAATCATTCCAGATGCTCCTCTAAGGTCGGGAAGAAGTACGCTGAGCTTGGTGGTCAAAAAGTTTCCCTTGGGGACGGGTGTAATTTCGAGGGGACTATTACACACGAGCTTCTACACGCATTAGGTAAGAAAACAATGTCTCAAATGGTAAACCTACGTACTTTTGATTTTAATAGACACAGATGTTGCTTTACATGTATTTTACTTAGGTTCCTTTATAAATTCTTTACACTGTGTAAGTGAACCTCAAGCGTGGAAAGTTTTTCGAGTAGACCTTTCATGTCTTTTCTGTGTGTTGCACCTGAAATAACGTGTATTACACGTAGGGCGAAACCTGTACTAAGAGAACACCCACATGATGTCCGCTTAATAGAGCTGTGCGCTTAAAACGGGTTAGTTTCCCAAAACATTTGCCTTTTACCAAAGCCGGTGTAGCTCTGCTCAATGGAAAGTCGCCTCAATACTTCAGGTTTCACTGTATAAAAAAAACCGATAAAGAAACCGAGGTCCTTATTTTACGTATCATTATGATTAACCGTTAATGTGCTAAACAAACCCTCAGTAGTTTGTTTACCTTCTATTTGTCTTCCACAGTCTTACTTTTTCATACCAGTAATTCCGTTGATGACACGTTGATATATTCTTGGACCTCCCTTTTCCAGGATTTTTCCATGAACAAGCTCGAGATGATAGAGATAGATTTGTAGAAGTAAACTGGGAAAACATTCTTGACGGTGAGTCCGTGAGTTTGCCTCAGATTTACATGTAGTATGGGAGGCTTAATCCTTTTTCCAAACTCTATCAGATAATTATCTTTCCATCGAAAATCCAAAATGCGCATAGTTCAGCCATAATCGCTTTAAGGGAGAAAAAAATTGACCTGGATTCCTCTCCAAACGTATGGATAAAATATAAGGATAATGTGTTGGTTACTGCCGGTACAGAAAGAATCATTAAGTAAATCATAAACTACCTGATCGACATACAGGGAATAAGTCCTCCTATGCCAAAACCTTTCAGGCTCTCAGTTTGTGTGGACAAACGTAGACAATCTAAACGCGACCTTAATATTTATATGTAGAGTAATCATAATGCAAGATTACATAGATTCATTACCTTGTTTTACAGGATTTTCAGACCAGTTTGACAAGTATAGCTATAGAACTATTGATAAGATTGGAAAAGACTACGATTTCAAATCCATCATGCACTATGATAGAAAAGCCTTTACCAAGAATGGACTGGACACTATTAGTAGGATAGACAAGCCAAACGAGAACTTTGGAATGCCCCAGAAAACGATGAGTTCTCAGGATATTGTTGAGCTAAACGCCTTGTACGACTGCCAAAGTACGTGATGTATAGAGCATATTTTAAATAAACGACCGTTGTGCAGCTTCTGATATTTTGATAAGTAGACACAGGGGATTACTTGATAATCTCTTGGTAGACATTATAAATTATCTAAAACAAAACAAGCTCACACGTAATAAAAAACAACTATTTGACATGACTATTAAAATCTTCTAAGATTATTAAAAAACTGCACTGTTTAATAATCTGCAATATCTGTTTAATAATCTGCAATATCTTTAATATCTGAACCACTGGTAGAATTTTGACATACTTCGAAAAAATATTTCCCTCTCATCTCCTTTTCGTTTGAATGGCCTATTGAATCGTTGCGACGCAAATCAGGAGGACGCAAATTATCGGTTCTAAAAGGCAACTAAAAGGCTGCTCTACAACTATAGGAGAGGGATAGCAAACAGTCAATCTGAGAAACTGGGTTCCAAAGGAGGTTATTTAAACAAAATTGGAGAAATGATTTAAAATAACGGTACTAACCTAGTTGGAACCCCCCAAAAATCTGCCTCAGAAAAATCTGGGCTTGGAGCATTGATTCTACGATATTCTACTGCCCTTAAAAATAGACTTGTCTCCACTCCTCTATTTATCTTCCTTTATACTCTGCAGCGAAAAACTACGGCTGGACTCAATGGTCGCAGTTCACTCCATGTGATGAAGACTGCGGTAAAGAACGCCAGCGATACTGCTACAATTCAGGAAACGTCAGAGCTTGTGGTGGTAACGTAAACGTGTATGGTATTGAAACGCAGAAAGTGAAATGCGGCAGGAACGAGTGTCCAGGTGAAAACTTCTGTTAAATTACCATCAAAAAGCGATAATTGCTGTCTATAAACTGCATTTTAAGACTTGAGCGTTCCTACTGAAGCCCAAGTAACAAACATAAATTTAATTTGCTTTGAGATAAACTTGTAGGTATATTTTGGATAGGTTTTAATCATGCAGTAGTGGTTTTTAATCAGAGATCCAAGTACACTCTTTTTATATATATATAAGATCGTCTAGTTTTGGAGGTGAGGCTGAACGTTCTTAATTTTTTTTTTTTTTTTTTTTGATTTGAGGCTGAAAACGTTCTTAAGATGTTCCCAAATTTATATGGCATAAAAATAACGAAGACGGGCCAGTACGGACTCCTTACATGATAGATGTGATGTGATTATATGTGCCTCTCATAATTTGGCTCTTACGAGCGTGTCTTTGAGAAATCTACCTCTTTTGTAGGATGGTTTTAAGCAAAGGCTGATTTTGTGTTAATGCCACTAAGTATTTGAGTTAATGTACATTTTTTTGTTACCTTTATCTTATGCCTGCCATTTGATATACAGATTAGCAAAATAAAAGCGTTCTTAATCGACTCTCAGCCTGAGGAATGATCTCAAAATGTTCTTAAAATTTTGGTTTAAGTCAGCCTCGACGTTCTTATAAAAAAGGTTCTTATAAAAAAAAAGAGTGTAATGCAGACGAAGTCAAAACTCAAGAGACACGGTGCATGGCTTTGAATGCTTCAAATGTTGTCTCTCTTTGGTTTCTCTCTTTCGTGGAAAACTCATCGTGTATATATTTCATTTGGCACAGTCAAGATAGATGGACATTGGGGTCGTTGGTCAGACTGGACATACTGCGATGCTCAATGTGATGACGGTAAAAGAACACGATTCCGGAAGTGCGATAATCCTAAGCCAAAACATGGTGGGAAATATTGTATCGGAAACTCCAAGGAAGACGACGTCTGTACGACGAGGAGATGTACACTTGGTGAGAAATTACTGTGGTTTTGACTTAGGTAATCAAATTCGAAAATTAAATTCTGTTTTGGGCATTTTAAAAGACTACAATTAGCTCTTATTAACCGAGCGAGGGGTCTGTATGGGAGAATCTTGACCGAGATCGTGAGTACAGACCGAACGGAGTGAGGTCTGTACACACGACCGAGGTCAAGATTCTCCCATACAGACCGACTAAGCTCGGTTAATAAGATGTTTTATTATATGGCAAAAGGAACAATTTTTGAAAATCGTTTAATATAACTGGTTTGTACTAGCTGACATTTTGCTTGCGAACGGCGAAGAGCCTAACTTAATTCTGCCAAAGTTTGCTCGTCCTCTTTCCCTTTTTTCTCATCAGGTTTTTTGGCACTTCCATAAATAAATATTGTTAAACGTAAATAGTCAATATTTCTGCATTTTAGTTTGCAACTTTTTAACCGCAAAATGTAACCGGTCTAGATGACGGTCTAGATGGGAAAATCCAGACCGCTTTCAATATCGATTTCAGCCAATCAAATTCGTAAATTCGGTAGTGCCCAGTCCTTGTGAGACACAGCCATATAACAAATGAGAATATTCCCAGGGCCACGCACTTACACTCCCGGGCTCACACTTCCCTTCTGGATGAACAATAAAAGACGACTTGATGACAGAAAAAGACATCATCAACAAGAAATCAGATCAATCGGATCTCTCTCACTCCAACGCCACGTAAACGCGTTTGCTATGTTGTGTTTATTTTGTTTTTACTAAATACATTTCTGCAGGATATGAAGACACTGATTTCGATAGTAAAGCGTTTGGAATGTGGAAAAATGCTGGGCAAATACAGTGGCGCCGGAAACAGTTCTTTACCCAGACAAAGGAAACTGGACCCAGTCGAGACCACACCACCGGAAAAGGTTTATTTCAACATTTTATTGTAGATACATGCTATTTGCAACAGAATATATGAAATTCATGAATAACGATATAATTAGATAGGAAACCTTCAATGTTTAATACACAACTTAAGTAATTGAGACGTGCAGTCTTGAGGAACAGTTGCGGCGGGTTCGAATCCCGTTGAAGCTTGAAGTTTAAATTAAACACATCATTTTCACAGACGGGAAAGGAATTTCGAAGGAATTAACTAGACGCGTCGTCTTGGCAATGAATTTTATCACGTTAAAGCGTCGTCAGTAATGACTTAATCTGAGTAAACATTAGACGGATCGAAACTTACCACAGATGGCCACCACTGTGACACTCATATCATTAGAATCACCGGGAGTCTCGCCGTGGCTCATTGGCTAGAGCGACCAACCGGTATATGTCATTGGTTCGAATCCCTCGCTGGGATTTTCGCGAATCTTACAGCTTATAACGTCACGACCAAACTGACGAATCAGTCCCAAAGGACCAGACTAAAAACACCATCGGCTGGCAAACACGTTTCTTCTAACTCACTTAATGATTTCCGCTCAGGTTGAAGTTCAAAAAACACGCCTTTTAAGAACTACCATTACCTTTACCGTTACTCTAGATGAACTAATGCCACTCTGATTGGACGTGGTTAGCGTCGAAGTAGTGTAATGTCTTTTTAAAATAATGGACAGATGGGACGGTAACCAGGAGATCTTTTACGCTGGAGGAGAGAGAGCTTATAACCTACATTTTACCGCAGTTTTATTTTTTTTTTATAGCGGAAACTTTAGTCCTAATTAAATGATAAACATGGAAAGATTAGTGGTATTTTATTTAATACCTAATGTTATTTCTACATTCACATCTCTCTAGGTTTTTATCTATACGTGGAGTCCTCTGCACCTGCTCAAGCTGGGAGTCGCGCTATTCTTGAGAGCCCACGTTGGTTGACTGCTCCTAAAGGCGGTCAGTGCATGAAATTCTTTTATACCATGTATGGTAAAACAATGGGCTCACTTTTAGTAACGCTGCAGCGACGTTGGGGAAAAGCTGCAACTATTTTCTTCCGGTCAGGAGATCAAGGTGTTCATTGGATTGGGGCCAAAGTCAGCCTAGATGTTCCAGAGGGAGCCAAATTTCAGGTAATATAGACAAACAATGCAATTATCATGGGTGTAAACAAGCCAACAAATAAGTTAAGACGTGATTTTTGAATAAGAAATTAAGTCTTAAATTTTTGGATTCATCGCTGCCTTCCGTAACAACTTCAGCTTACGCAGTGGGAACTTTTGTATGTTAATTAACTTTCTTTTGTTATAATAGATCAAAATCATTGCTCAGGTAGGCCAGCCAGGATACTCCGACTTTGCTATTGATGACGTGTACATCGATCCCGGACTTTGCTGTAAGTTTTCACGACGGTATAAAAAGAACAAACAATCAAAATTGTAAATATGCGAGTCATAATAATAATAATAATAATAATAATAATAATAATAATAATAATAACAACAACAATAATAATAACAACAACAACAACAACAACAATAATAATAATAATAATAATAGTAATCAAACAGTAAGTATCTAAGAATATTTTGTAATAAGCGCACGAGCGCGCGTTGGATAAGAGATGGTAGATCAGTAACGAGGCGCGTAGAATGAATGAGTTGCCAGTAATCGGATACCCGTGTTTGCGCGAAGAACTCTGGGATCGCCAGGGGGCAAACATTGCTAGTCGCTAGAAGGAAATGTATGGCGAAAAGTTGTTTCGAGGTACAAGAAAACGATTTTTGAGAGAGATCAACGCGTTTTCGTCGTCGTTTTTATCGCAAATGGATTTGAGCAATGTTGATATGTGGAATATGTAAGTTTTTCTTTGAATAACCGTGAAATATGTGACAAAATCTACCGATAAACTCCGTTGCTTGCGTGAAGTTTAT